TCTTAGGAGCTTCGTAACCCTCACGACTTGAACACCGGTTTTAGGGGTTTTAGAAAACAAATTTATTTGATAATTCTATGGCCAAAGAGCATAAGCAATCAACCTTGAGGGTGTGTGAAGTTTTGTGGTCCAAGAGTACTCAGTGGTGGGTGCAAATAAGTTTGTCAAATAGGTAGATTCACACAGAGAAAAGAGAAAAAATATTTTGTGAATGACTAGATCTAACTAAGCATACAAAGGACTAAGTGTGGAGAGAAAATGGAGAGAAATGGGAATAATAGAAGACTTAAACAGAGGCAACAAGGAGCACTTGATTGAGATCAAGCTCTCAAGAAGATCCTGGGTGCCCATGCCTCTTGCGCCACAACTTGTGGTGTGGAAAGGCACTGTTCCACGTCGCAAGTCCCTGTGTGGAAGCCTAACAGACCTAGGAAGGGCCTGGTTAGGGTCGAGGTGTTCTTTGGTTCTCAAAGAACCATCTGGAATGTCTCTAATCATAGGGTCATGGACTTTTTATTGACGACCTTGATGCAGTTTACAACTCAACTAGCCCTACACTGGGCACCAAATTGTATACAACTGGAATTGGGACCGATCTCGCACAAGATCAACGACAAATTTAATCTTTACTAATTAATAAAACTTAGGTAGATCGGAGTCTACATGCATTCCAATCTAAAGGTGATTGGATCACAGACTAAAGATCTGATCCTTTTTATATAGTCGGCAAGACCGGCTTGTAAATTGTGTCAAAGTATAAAAAATATAATAAAGATCCAGAAAATGAAATAAGATGATAAGATCAAAGCGAAATCAAAATGAAAGCATGAGAATGAGAGCTTACAAATTAGCCAAGGCCTAGCTGCCCGGCACCCAGAGTAGAGGCATTAATCAGAGCTTAGAACGATTGAATGAACTCCTTCCGATGAGATGAATAACTGAACTTGATATTTGAGTGGACTTGCTTAAATGGAGTAAAATCTTAGCAGCTTCATCCTTTAGGTAATGAGGGATAAGAATTTTGTGTCTCTAAAGTGGGGCCATGGCTACTAAAACCAGGGCTGCTAAGGCTACTTGTTTAGGCTTCTTAGAGACTAGAGTTAGGGTTTCTAAGGAAATATGCAGCTCTCTCGCTAGGAGGTCAAATAATATGATTTTTTATAGACAAAGATGACCTAAAAATGCATGAGGTGGTATTCTACACCACTCAGGAGCTGATATCTATCCACATTGCAACTGTGTTGATGGCCTGTGTAGCTCGCCGCAAGTTGTTGCACGACGACCGACTCGGGGTAGCATAGATTTATACGGATTGTGATTTTAGTGATTGTAAATTTCTATATCAGTTCACAATTCACGCGGTTCGGCAATACTGATATATTATGCTTCCTTTTCACTTGAAAACCTGCAAATTTTTATCCAAGGTCTTCTAATATGGGTTTCCTATGCGATCTTCTAGATTCTCTAGCCATTATAAGCTGGACTATGGTTTGGATATGCCTAGGGTTAGTATGTCCTATGGTGTACTAGGCTAATGTGGTCATTATGGTGTAAAAAGCTTGTCTAAGGTTCATTTTCTATAATTTGATATTCAAAACTCCAAGGAAAATGTCAATTCAAAAACTAGGGTGTCTATGGGAACATTCTAGCATTAGTTGTATATTATGATTTAAATTATTTCCAAACGACAAGACGATATTTATTATGAAGAAACCAAAAGGATTTATAATTTTTATATGCCCATAACACAAAGTATACAAACTTAAGAAATCTTTATCTAGTCTAAAATAATCTTCTAGGCAGTGGTACTTCATCTTAGATAATGCAATCATTAAAATTAGCTATTTAACCCATAGATTAGACCGTTGTATATATGTGTAGAAATAGTGGGAGCAATTATGCTTTCTGATCTTTATATGTAGATGAAATTTTGTTAGCTGGTAATGATATTGACATGATTAACCATATAAAATCTTGGCGTAATTCCCACTTTGAGGTGAAAGAAATGGAAGAAGGGATACACCATTTTGTAAAGGCTTAAAATTTTCAAAGAAAATGTCCATTAAGTGATAAAGAAAATGGAAAAAAAATTAATATGCTCAAACTGTAGGGCATGTAATGTATGACATGTTATGCACAAGATCTGATTTGAGTTATACATTTGGTTTTTTAAGTAGATTTCAGAATAATTATGGGATGACTCATTGACAAGAGATAAAAAGGATGCATAGGTATACTCAAAAAATTAAAAACAACAAATTGTGCTTCCAAGTTAATAAATTAGAGGTTAGTGGGTACTCTAATATAGACTTTGCAGGAGACCCAGATGATAGAAAATTAACCTCAAGATATATATTCCTCTTTGGAGGTGAATGTGTTTCTTAGTTAAGCAAGAAACAAGGTTAAAGTACATCGTTATGGTTTTTTCCTACTTTTTTGGGAGAGGGTTCGTCTCATGGATTGAGAGAGTTTCAAGACTTAGTGAGAGAGAGAGAGAGAGAGAGAGAGAGAGAGAGAGAGAGAGAGAGAGAGAGAGAGAGAGAGAGAGAGAGAGAGAGAGAGAGAGAGTAGTAGAGTAGTAGAGTAGTAGTAGTAGTAGTAGTAGTAGTAGTAGTACGTAGTAGTAAGTAGTAGTAGTACGTAGTACGTAGTACGTA